TGAAACAAGTTGTAGAAATTTGAGAAGGGAGGACTTTCAGAAAAAAATAGCACTAGAGGAAATTAGATGGAGTTTTAATTTACAGACACCCCACCCATTAGGATTAAAGGAACACTATAGTCACCTAAATTACTTTAGCTAAATAAAGCAGTTTTAGTGTATAGATCATTCCCCTGCAATTTCACTGCTCAATTCACTGTCATTTAGGCGTTAAATCACTTTGTTTCTGTTTATGCAGCCCTAGCCACACCTCCCCTGGCTATGATTGACAGAGCCTGCATTAAAAAAAAAACTGGTTTGGGGGGCGGAGCCTGGACACGAAACGGGCTGGATGCCATTTCTGCGGGCTCCGACATCTACGGACCGAATCCGCTCAATATCAGCCCGCAGCCCTGACATCCAGCCGCAAGAACACCGGCATAGCACGGGGGAGATCCCCCGGATTCTTCCGATGCCCTTCCGGTACACCCCGAAGCAGGCAAAGTCAAAACACAGAGCACGGGCCTACCTTCCATCAGCCCACCACGGCCTGGATTACCTGTTCGGCGGGGACTTCCTAGAAGACTAGTGGGACACATCCCAGCACAACTCCGAACACGGAATCTCAGGGATGGGACGCAGATCCCAGAAACCTCAACCAGGTACAGCTCAGCCTGATATAAGCACAATGCTCCAGAGGCAAACACCCGCCAAAATGGCGGCCGCACAAGGCCCAGACTCCCCACTAGAATCTGACTTAAGGGAGCAAAGCACACAGGGGGTTCCAAGGCCACAACCCACACCCCAGCAGGGTACCACTGAACCGGCCACTAAACAGGACCTGCAGCATATGCAAATTATGCTGCAAGAAATCCAAAGCCTGCTGGCTGCAGATTTACCTGCCCTTAAAACAAGCATGCAACAAATCACTGAAAAAGTAGTACACACTGAGAGAGAAGTGCAGGGGATCCAAAAAGAAATCACCTCGCTGCAAGACTCCCTCACACAACTACAACACAATCAACAAAACTTCGAGGTTCAACTAGCAGCCCAAGAAGACAAACACAGACGCAATAACATAAAAATCCGAGGTATCCCTGTCACAGTCTCCAAAGAGGACCTACCTCACTACGTGAGACGGCTCACGCAAGCTATACTTCCTCCTGCGGTGGCAAAGAAACTCACCTTTGCCGGAATATACCGACTACCCACCCCAACAAGGGCATCTACACTCCTAGCAGGAGACGTCATAGTCCGCTGCATCCTTCCCCAGGATAGGGGGCACATAATGTCGGCACTCAAGGGCAAGACACCGCTCAACTTCGAGGAGTCTCAACTGACTTTTTACCAGGACTTAACCAGAGCCACTCTCCAATGGAGAAGAACCCTCAGTGACTTCACCAGCCAGCTACGTTCCGCGGGCGTATCATATCGGTGGGGAAACCCACGCCACCTCCTGGTTACACACCGAGGAAACACGTACAAAATCGCTACAGGACCTGATGCTGCCGCGCTACTACCAAAATTGGGCCTGCCGACCGAGCACGCCCAGAACGCTACCCATGCCTGGGACCCGGAGACGATAGAGCCGTTCACCCCGAGGACACGGAGAAGGGACACTCACGCCACATGACGGGAATGAGGGGAGAAGTCTCCTACCCCATCCCGCTCAAAGGCTAAAAACGGCAAAATGTATTTTCTTTTGTTTCTCTCATATACCCTTTCACCTTCAGCCACTTAAGCTTTGTTGATAATGAGCAAGTTAATCTGACGCTCTAACACCCATATGACGCGCTGTGAGCCTGTCAGGGACGGCGCTGGAATACCAGTGCACTAAAGGAATATGCACTACCATACAGAACAGAAATCCCCCCCGACAGCCCCTAGGTTAGGGCTACTACCCCTCGAGAGTAACTCAAACGGACCACGGATAAGGCCCCCTGACAAGATACTCTCACGACTAACTGACTGACACCACAGACCACTTGATAACACCACAGATAGATCTAGCACTCTGAAACTAAAAATAAGTTATAAGTCTTACGCAAAATAAGTCTGGAGCACATAGTTCGCAGCCTGGACTGGGTGGCATACGTGATTTGGGGGGGCCAGCTTGCCCGCAACACTCCTGTCCCATAACTATCCATGAGCAAACAATCTAGTATTCATGGGATTGCTGGGGGTGGGATGCGCGGGCTGGCTGGCTACTCTCCAAATTGCTGCCGCTAAATTCGGTTGGGTCGCGCTAGGTGTCGACTGAAGCATAGATTTAACCAAGTGTAGATGAAACACGGGACACGTACACCTAGAATGAGGCGACTGGGCAGTGTGATTTTCAAAGCAAAACCAGCCCAAAGTTTGGACAGGCACTGCTCTGTCCTGCGGCCAGGGCTGATAACACTTAAACGCATGTATATACCTAACAAAAATCTAACCTGATGGTTAACACGCACACTAGCCCCTGCTCCCTAACCTGAAGGTCTCTATCTGAACATAATCTCTCACACTCACGCTGGAACAGTGCTATACCACTAACCACTCTTCTCATATATATATAAAAATGTGCAAAGTTATTCCTGCCATACAATTGTATTTACATGTCTACTCAAACCCTGGCGACAGCTGTTGTGGCATCGCTAGAAAACTGTTACATGAATAATCTATGCACGAAAAATAAAGAATTTAAAAAAAAAAAAAAAAAGGTCATGCAAAAAAAAAAAAACTGGTTTCACTTTCAAACAGATGTAATTTACGTTAAATAATTGTATCTCAATCTCTAAATTGAACTTGAATCACATACAGGAGTCTCTTGCAGGGTATAGCAAGCTATTAACATAGCAGGGGATAAGAAAATCTTAATTAAACAGAACTTGCAATAAAGAAAGCCTAAATAGGGCTCTCTTTACAGGAAGTTGTGGCGAAACCAACCTCGCCACTGGGCATTGGAGAAGCCTGTTTGAATGCCTCCTGCTTGCTGACTATGGCCCCTGGGAGATTTGGCCCTTTTAATACAGTATTTGGGCATATTGTATTTTATTATGCTGCTGCTGGCCCTTTAAGAGCCATCTGGGGACATACTGTGACTTTTGGGAACAATGCCCCTTTAAGACTATGGCCCTTTTTTAGCAGATTGGATTTTAAAAGACTTGCTGCCCCTTTAAATTGTATTGGAGCAGTTCTGCAGTTTTAAATTGGCCCCATTCGACAAACGAACACGTGGAGGCGGCCATCTTTAATTCAGCTGAAGTTTTACCTTCTCCAGACTTCAATGCATTTGACAGTTCGACAATTCGAATGGTTGTCGTTTTTTCTGTTTGAACTGACTTTAACATGGGAAATACTTGACTTATATCTATCTCCCTAACGGCTGAACGGATTCAAATGATTTTTGGGTATGTATATTTGAAATGTGCTGATTAATAATATGTAATTTTTATGAAGATTGGATGTATATTTTTAAAGATATAGTACATATATAAAAAAGTATTTTTCCTGCTTATGATAATTATGTTAAACCATTGTGTACCATAATTATATCACAGGCAGAGGGGAGGATTTTGTGTATAATTGCTGGGAGTGCTTTCTGTAATGTACGTGTGTTATTGGTTGTTCTGTAAAACCCTGTGGGCAGTACCAAGTTTGTGGATTGGGAATAAAAGAGACTGTATGTGCCAGTACAGGCAGTTCTGCTTGACCCTCAAAACGAAGTGTCGTCTCGTTACTGGGGGAATCTGCTACAAGGGATTGCTATGCTAGTCATACTCCCTTGCTATATCACTACTAAGCTCTTGTAAGAGCTTGTTCCTGTCTACAGTGGTTATGGTGTCGGCTGGAGTTCTTGGAGCCCTCAGGAAGCGCTAGGAGCATCCTTCAACGGAAGTAACCAGTTGGGGTGCCAGGTGATCCGTTACAGAAGTGTTTATGGAAGGCTGTTCCGGCCCCGGTCTCATTAAGCGGCGCGCTAGAGAGGGGGAGCAGACACAGAGCAGCCAGGTCCCCCTGCGGCTGTCAGAAGAGCCAGCTCCCCCATGCGGCCGCAGGTGAGTCAGCTGTCTGCCCGGCCCCAGGTGCCAACGGCCCACCGGGAAATTTCCCGGTATTCCGGTGGGCCAGTACGGCCCTGCTTACAATTAACACTAATGTGCATCAAGGCAGAAGCCATGATAGGGCAATGAACAAGGTCCCAAATTCATTTTATTTAGGATAACAGACTTTCTGATTGATTCACCACAACTCTGCAACTTCAAATTGCTAGAATATGGGGTCGCCTAGATGACGTGGTCACTTTAAGGGAGGGTGTGATGTTGTGCGATTTGAATACTGACCTGAACAACACCAGTAGGCTGACTGAGTCACAGCAGACGGATTCTTGGCACACAAAGCTGTTCCTGAGGCCTACAATATCGGGCGAGGTGAGAGCTATGGCCACTCCTTCACCCCACGATTACGCAGCTTGTTTCAGGCCATGTTCCCCCTCCTTTGGACCAGTGCGGGATATCCCAGTCCCCACTAGCATGCCGATCAGCCGCGACCGCACGACAGTAGCAGAAGGTCCTCGCGATCACATGGCCGGAATAGCCTGCTTGTTGGGGCTGTAGTGGGTGCAGGGAGTAATAGGGGCTGCAGTGAATATTGTAGGGTAATAGTGGGTACACAGGGTGGCTATAGTGTGTACAGGGAAATAGGGGGTAATTTAGGCTGTAGTGGGAGCAGGATGTAATACAGGTTATAGTGAATATAGGGGGTAATAGGGGCTATACTGAGAGCAGGGGATAAAAGGGGGTATAGAGTGTGCAGGCGAGATGGGGGTAAGGAGTTAAAAAAATAGTAATTGGGGGCGTGGCCTGACAGCTAATGGAGTAGGACGCACTCAATCCGAGCTCCTAGGCCCCAACCTGTGTAGCCCCGATAAATTAGCTCAGCATCGCCGTAGAAAGCGCACACCCATGGGGGGGAAAAACAGGAGGCTACCTACAGCAAGCCAGGTCACTCCGGCCCCTTCACGACAGCCAGCCGGCCCGATGGACGAGTTCCTCGCCACGCCGCATGGCCTCCGAAACTCCGGCGAGGCTGGCGCATCGGCCCCCGATTCCCCGGGCTCCAGCATAGCAGGCTCGGCGCGGGATTCTGGCACACCTGGCACCCTTTCCCAAATTTCCGCGGACCTTGCCGCGATCTCCGCGAGTATGATGACCCAGAAGGATAAAGGAGAAATAATAAGGGAAGAAATAGCGGCTGTACGCACCAACCTCACGGCACTGGAGCAGCGAGTTGATATGTTGGAGGTTGAGCGCCTACAAACTCAACAGCACCGGCAGGCATCTGAGTTGGCGACCACAAGACAGGGCAATATCCTCCTGGACCTCCGCCGGCAGGTTGAAGACCTAGATAATCGCGGAACAACATCAGGGTCAGAGGCCTGCCTGAATTTGAGGATGAGGTACCGCAGGAACTACTGACCGGCCTATTTGCGCAAATACTGGGAGATTCAGCCCCTGGCGACTTCGGCATCGAATGGGCCCACAGGGCACTGCGCGCCCCCAGAAGAGATGGTCTGCCGAGAGACATGATTTGCGCTCTCCTATCGTTCCCGCTGAAGGAATCTATAATGCGGGCAGCACGTGCACAGCAGCATATAACATACATGGAAGCACAGATATCCCTGTACCAGGACTTATCCACTATCACCCTAGATGCCCGCAGGGCCTTGCGGCCACTTACCCGAGCACTCCAGGAGCGGCGAATTCCGTATAAATGGGGATTCCCATTTAGCCTGCAGGCCCGAATGGGAAACGTGTGGCACATCATACGCTGGCCGAACGACGTGCCACGGTTTTTAAGAACCGCCAATCTACCTGCTATCACTGTGCCAAACTGGATCCTGGAGGAACCCCCAGCACGAGCCACAGGCCCAACTGAAGTAGCCCACAACATCCACCTGGAGCCTGGACCACCAAGGCGCAGAGGAGGCCCAATAGGCCCAGAGGAATAGCGGCCCTCCCGCCGCACCGAACCGTGGCCCCCGTGGGACTTCTCAGGCCAGGTCGGTGCAGTGCCTTCTGACCTCCCCCCAGCTTTGCCAATGGACGCTACGCAGACCCAACGACACCACAGCTGGGGTATGTACTTTCATGTCTGCTGCCAGATTGCATTAGCTAGTAGATAGGGAGGGAGGATGCAGACAGGTGGGGGGGGGAACCGATGCCAACCTCTGGGAGCGGCCGGGAGCTGGGTTCCCACCAGTGAGCCCATACACCCGGGGAAGATGGGGGAAATACCCCGTAGGTGGGGAGGGGGTGATGGGCAGGAAACAAAGAGACTGTGGACCGTTACTACCACCTAGGTCACACCCTGGGTCTAGGCCGCTGTTCTGAACAGGCTGCTCCAGCACACCGCAGCTCGCGGAACAGGGCTGGGGGGGTGGCTGTGGGAGGGCGAGGTCTGCACGATATGCGGGTACACAGGACAAGAGCTGGGTGGGGAGTTGGGGCAGGGCTAGGCACGTTATGCTCATGTTTTTTAGTTATGCACGGTTGCTCTTTTATCACCCGACACACACCACAGCCACTCACAATAGGGGACAAATGCAAACAATTAGCTGCCCTGAGACTAGTAAGACGCCACGTTGGCATGCCCTACTATGTAAGTCAAGGGATACAGATAGATTTTACACCGGAAACTCCAGGCGCAGGGGGCGACCACACTACAAGCCAGACACACTGAACTGACGCAAATGAGGGAGCGGGCGCGCTACGCCCACCGGGCCGCCTTACAATGAGACATAACACATGTAGGCCAGACCACCCCCAAACAGCGGCTCTACGCCCAGAACACGCCGACTCGTAGACCGCGAACTGCAAGTTGCCCCGCGGGTGGGGTCAGAGACGGAGTGACTCGAGGTGCCCAGAAGACGACCCTAGCTGAATCCCCAGACAGCACCCGGTTACTAGAATCGGGATGACAGGGGAGCCGACCGGGACGGGGGGAACCACGGGTAACACTGACCGTAACGCCAACAGGACCGGAATGCACAACCGCCCCCAAAACCATGGGACTGCCGTACAGGACGATACAACCCGACCGGCACACTAAAGTCCCAGGCGACTGCTGCGGACCCCGAATCTAGAGCGGACAACCAAGGCGATTGCGCACACCTCTCACAGGTTGGGTGCCGACGGAGAGAGGAGAGTACCAACCTCACACAGACCCGATACCGACTTCACTGTAAGTGACCATACGGAACCCCACTGAGACAGACCCACACTGTACATTTCACCGGTGTTCCCAACGCTGAGACAACCCACCAGGCTCGGGAACGATCACACCCGGTACAGGGTCAGAGTCAAACCCGCACACCCAGAAGATACGCTAGACCATACACTTCACCACTTCAGACAGACAGACTCCCCCCACACCCACCGCCACATCACCTCACCATACAGACAACACTGCGGGGATGCCGCCCTGCTGCCGAGATGGCTGCCTCGCGGGGATTTGTCCCGGCTCAACTGACATACTGGTCCAATAATGTCCAGGGGCTTAACACGCCTGAAAAGCGCGCGCACCTGGTAAGGCGCCTATGGGCCGTAAGAGCCTCCGTGGCGTTTCTGCAGGAGACACATCTCCGGGGGATGGACGCCCCCAAACTAGAGAACAGACGTTACCCGCAAGGATTCTATGCGAATCATCCGGACGCTAAGAAGGCTGGTGTAGCAATACTCTTTGCACAGACGACGACGTTCCAACACATAGCAACGCAGACGGACCCGAACGGCAGATTCCTTTTCGTTAAGGGCACAATCATGGAACACACGTTTACCTTCGCATGTCTCTACGGCCCAAATAGAAAGCAGCACACATTTCTGGCCCGGACGCTAGCCAAATTGGAGAAGTTCAGAGACGGCCTCCTGGTCGTGGCAGGTGACCTAAACCTACCTCTGGACCCCCGCACGGACACCTCCAGAGGGCAAACTGCGATCCCGGCGCATTGCATACGAGCAGCACAACGATCTATACATAAACTTGGCCTGGTGGATTGTTGGAGGGCATGTAACCCTGAAGAAAGGGACTATACCCACTATTCGGCAGTCCATAAAAACTACAGTCGCATTGACTATATATTCCTGGCCCAGGAATACCTCAACCTTCTCCACGAAGCACGAATAGGCATAATGGACCACACAGACCATGCACCACTGACGATCCGCACAAGCTCCCCACTATATAAACCCCACGAAAGACATTGGAAACTGAATGAATCCTTACTGGATGATGTAGAGTGTAAGAGGGTGACTGCCCAAACTCTAACCGAATATTTCACAACTAACGAGGACTCGGAGATGCCACCGTTAACGCTTTGGGAAGCTCACAAATGCATCATACGGGGCCATTTCATCGCCATGGGCACCAAACGCAAAAAGGACCGAACACGACGTATCACAACACTGCTAGATCGGATAGCTGAACTAGAAGGGGAACACAAGACGGACCTCGCAGATAGCACATACCTCCGCCTGACGGAAGCACGAAGGGAGCTGAAAGCCATATTATCACAAGGAATTTTGCACACCGCGAGGAAAGCATCCAGATATTATTACGAACACTCGAACAAAAGTGGACGGATGCTAGCTAGGATGCTACAAGATAGAAGGAAAGCACAACACGTTCACAAGGTACACACGAGCAGAGGGGACACAACCAGCCTCCCAGACGGCATTCTGTCAGCGTTCCGGGAATACTACGCGGCGTTATATAACCAGCCACGACACCACCGAGACAGAGACACAGGGAGCCACCGAGAACGGATAGCCACATACCTTCAGAACCACATCACCCGACAGCTCACCCCGGACCAGGAGGCAGAACTCGAGCTGCCCTTGACGATCGAGGAACTATCTGGCGCACTGAAATCAACTAAAGCGCACAGGGCCCCGGGCCCTGACGGTCTACCAGTCTCGTACCTACGCTCCTTCAAAGACACCCTGCTGCCCAAACTCTTGACAGGCATTAACTCAATCAGAGAGGGAGGCCAATTCCACAGAGACACCCTGGGAGCAACAGTCGCAATAATACCCAAGGAGGACAAAGATCCAACAAATTGCGCCAGCTACAGGCCCATCTCTCTGTTAAACGCGGACGTCAAACTCTTCGCTAAGGCACTGGTGCTCAGGATGGCTCCGACGCTTCCAGACCTGGTACACCCGGACCAGGTTGGGTTTATCCCCGGAAGAGAAGCCAGAGATAATACTATTCGCGCCCTCAACACCATTCATACTGCTAAAACAGGCAAAAAGGAAATGGTCCTTGTGACGGAACGCTGGCACTCCGACTGAGTACCTCCGCCAATCGATGCTCCTAGCGCTTGCCGAGGACTCCAAGCACTCCAACCGACACCATCAGCACTGCAGACCCCACTTCCAGCGATGCAACTGCGCTGGGGTCTCTGCTGTCTCCACCCACCCTGGACCCAAGGCCAGGATCCAGCTTTCAGTGGATGAACCTCTCTTTCCCCAGAGAGCAGGAATAAGCTCTTAGCAGAACTTAGTGATCATACCCTGGGGAGTATAGTGATTATAGCAATCCCCAGAGTGTATTTCTCCAATCCCCCAAACATGAGCCAAGGCTTAATGCTGGAACAAGACTAATTTACTGGCACACAGAACTCACAATTTATGCAACACAAAACTCCTCCTCTGGGCCAGGCTAGATAATTGAGTTTCTACAATACACAAAGCTCAATTATCTGCTGGCCAGAAACATTACAATTTTTACAGCATTCATAACTTCTAAAATATACATCACAGGGACCCCAAAACATGCAATAACCCCATAAAAAGTATATCCTTGGAACCGGGGGATCTGGGTGAACCACATATCCAAAATTCACCCAGATCCGTTCAGTACTTTGGAAAATACAGTTTAATGCAGATTCTGCAGAACATATACAGGCTAAATGAAAAACAATTACTGTATAATGTGTCCCCTGCTGTATAGTCCAAAACCACTGCACAATGTCTCTGTGCACCAAATACTGGCAAGATGGCACCGTGTTGAAAAGTCCAAACAGTGTCTGTGAGTTAAAATGGCCGCCATCCATTGTTCTCACCATGTGCTTCTGATACAGGAAATGGTGGCCACCCAGTAACTCCACAGTATGTCCCAGATGGTTCTTAAAGGGCCAGCAGCAGCACAACACAAATCCATTATGCCCAAATCATGTCTTTAAAGGGCAATACATCCCAGGGGCCATAGTCACAGGGCAAGAGGCGGGCAAGCAGTCCTCTCCAGGCGCAAGTGGCGAAGGGCACTTTGTCACAGTCCTGTTATCCACCGATGCTGAAAAAGCGTTTGACAGGGTGGACTGGGTCTATATGTCAGAAACCCTACGACATCTGGGATACGGTCCACACCTGCGGACCTGGATAACGGCACTATATACCTCACCGACAGCCCGCATACG